ATAACACCAAACATGAACTAAGCGGAACGTATGCTTGCCGACTTTGATAAAGCCTGCGGAAAGATTTGTCTTCGACTAATTTTCACAAAAACGATGTTCTTGAAGAACGGATTGGTTTCGCATGCTCCATTCACACTCAACGGAACGAATATCTCCGAATGCTCCAGTTACGTCTATCTAGGTGTGGAAATCAACATGATGAACGACTTAGCTCTAGAGTTGATCAGAAGGAAACGAGCGGCATGAGGAGCTTTATAGAGCATCGAGGATGCAGTGAAAAGAAGAAAAGAATGCCGGCTCCACCCCCACGTTTTCGACTCAACAGTACTTCTTGCCCTAACGTATGCGTCAGAAACCTGGTCGCTGCGTAAGCAGGATGAAAGGTCATTCAGCGTTATCGAACGCGCAGTCGAAGGGACCATGCTAGGAGTATCCCGTTCCACACAAGTAGGTGATGGAATCCGAAGCTCCGACCTGCGCCAAAGATCAAAAATCAAAGAAGCCGTTCTGTACGCCAAACAGTCGAAGATAACGTGGGCCGGACACGTGATGCGTATGAATGCCAACTGATGGACAAGGGCCGTTAATGACTGGATTCCTCGGGGATGTTAAACGCACTGCAGGAAGACCACCGACCCGATGGTCAGAACTTTTCACGAAAAGCCTAGAAGAAAGATGTGATGCTCAACGACTCCTTAAAACGAGTAGAACCCACTGGACCACTCTTGCAGGCGACAGGGAAAAATGGAAGATTTATTTGTACCCGCTCCAGTCACTCAGTGATCAACGGGACTACAGGTGATACAGGTGATACCCAAGTCTCAGTCAAACTCACGCATGAACTAGGCCAGGTCTTTGAATTTAGAGACGTGTAAGCAACTTGAATCCTTCAGAGAGCAAACCGGTTTTCCAATAACTACCGCTAATTTCTCGGTCTCTAAAGTACTTTAGGTGTTCAGAGCTTTACAGATTTATGGAACAAACTATGCTTGATTGGTGTGGTAACTGCATATGTAGTTTATACGCAGTGTCCTTTTAAGTTTAAGTATGTTAAAAATTAAGGCTTTTAATAAACTGACGCCGACATTTAAGTTTTTAAACCTTTCAGTCCATAAAATCCATTCAATGCGTAACTGGTAGTTGCAAACATGATGAGGAAACATCATCGGATAATGCAGTTCTGAAGAACACGAAGACGTCGGAACATTAGTCGATTGAATATTTTTTATCAACATCGTGTTAGCTTATTAATCGAAAAAGGTATTGACGACAAGATTTCCGTCCAATGAGATCGGACGGCCCGTTGTTAACGCTCGTGTTCTCCAACCAAGCGATTTCATTAATAAGTGTTCGCATTGAATTGACGCTGATGAGGGCGGAGTCAGCTTCTACAACTCATATATAGTTTCTAATTCCTCTTCTATTCATTCATTCATCATCGAATACGCCTCAACATCAGCTACTAGCAGATTTTCTCCTTCGTTTCCTTCTTATCTTTCTAGGTTTTGAATTAAGCTTCACTGAGTTAAGGTGCATATAACAATGTCTTTTAACATCTACGTCGTTGTTGTTTCGATCCTGCACTCTCAGCGAACCAAGCCTTCCATACCTCAGTGATGAGCAAATTGTTATCAAACTTGTTTGAAAAAATAGAAGCCTTGTGTTGATAGATTGAGAGGAAGTGATTTTAGAGAAGAATATTCGTTGAATCACCTTTACGACCTCATGAAAGTAGTTGGACGCATGCCTTCGAGATAGATCGACACAGGGCGCTTTTGTCCTCCCATCACCTTATCAATAAAGTTAATGAATGAATGAAAAACTGATAGTGCAAACCAACGTAGAGTATTTTGAAGCTATTTGAATGCGGTCGCCAATCTTGGATAACTTTTAAAATAACTTGGTTATAGAATGATAACGGCTGAAGTGAAATGTAGGTCTACTAGTCGTACCAATTCTTTTTATTCACTCTCTTTCTGTTCATCATAAAGGACATAAAGAAAACAATCAGCAATTAACAAGTTTGTGTAAGGGGATTAAAGGAGTGAATACCACATTACAACACACCAGTATTCGTCTTCCGTCATTGAAGAATACGGATATCGAATTTGATTCGACCAATATCAATGGGACGAGATGAGGATGAAGGCTGTACTAGCGACTTATTAGTGACTGACATAATAGGTGAGAAGGAAACGTTATAGTGATTCCCAATAGTTAACTTTGTCACACTCTCTTTACCCAAGATTCATTACTGAAAGAATTATTTGAACTAAATGGGAAATGAGGAGGCGTTTGTTCTTTTCCATCAAGGTTTTTAAATCCTTACAAACAACTACGTAGACAAGTCTAAGCACTGTTTATACCAACTAAGATCTTTAATCTAACTGTTATTATAAACATTTATTCCTATTCATTCATAAGCGAATACGAGATTGACTTTAAAAGTTGAAAAAAGTAGAAAATCAAAAGTAAAAAAGCCTTTTAATCAACCTCATGTTAGCTAATCAAAGCAAAAAGGATATAAGTTGATTAGTCATGCCGAAGTTAAAAGGAAAGTGAGTTTTTGAAATAATAAATATTGTCGGCGCGTGGGGCGCAGTGGTCGAAAGCGCACTGCAACACATTCGACATCGATCGTCTACGTCCGAGGCTCACCAAGCCTTCTACCTTTCCAAGGTCGGCAAGTTGGTACTAAATTTGTCTGGGAGCATAGCAACACCGGTTCGATATATCGGTATGCCACCGCAAGTCATTGTAAAGGCCGGATATGCATTCAATCACCTCTAAACGATGCTTAATGAAGTCCAATGCATAGCGCACTTTCTCGTTTTATCCTTTTATTTGTTGTTATATTTCATTTCTAGTGTTATCACCGTATATTAACGTACATGCTTCCTTTTCAACTGCCTTGCTTCACGGACTGGAATCTAGACACTAAGTTCAGTAATCAACAGAATCATCCAGACATGCTGCACTTCTCACATATCGAACGTACTCTGCGTACCGCGCTCATTCATGTCTAGAATAGTAATGAGTTAGTTAATAAGCACATCAAACCGAAATATAATAACAAAGATATATCATTCTTAAAGATAAAGACAATTTTTTCCTATGTCGTAAGTCACATGTACCTTCTTGCAGTGCGTTCCCATGAACTTCAGTCATTTCATACGTGTAATCTTCTCTGAGATGAATACCGGCGTCCTTCCTAATCAAGAGTTCTTCATCGCTACCGTCTGACAGTCCGAACGACGACGTTAATGATACCAACTCTCTGACATCTTCTTATGTTTTCTCCCACTTTGTCCTTAACAAATTATTACCTTTCCACACCAAAGTCTGATCTCCTATAGCAACTATTCCCAGAATAGTTTCTATTTCTTTCTATATATATTTGTATCTTTCTACTACTGTATGTTTCAGTATTAAGGATCATATCCACTGTTTCTCAAGTTGCCTAGCAAATGTCGTTCAACGTAAATATTTCGATCCCATCCTTAGCAATTTCGGTCGCTGTAAACAGTCTTGTTATGCAAACCTATTCTTGCGGTCTGAACTCGTTGTTTGTTATTACTGTCCAAAAGTCATCTCGCGTACAACAGCAAGAGCATGAGAATGTTTGCGAGAGGAGTCTTCCGCCAGATGATATGTGGTTTTGAGAGGATATGGAGGCAGTAGCCGACGAATGTTTTCGGTAAAGATGCTGGACCTGTGCCAAATACCGCCTTCTCCGAAGCATATAAATAGGCTCGTTAATTGTTATCCAGGTGCACCCGTGTCGGGGTTCGCCGGCTCTTTAGATCTGTACCGTATTGGTCTCGTGTGTCACCAATGTAGGTTATCGTAGTTGTTAAGTCATACAGCACGTAGTCATTATTGTACATGATGAGGATACATTATATCATTGTTAAATGACTGTTGCGAATTGTACGTTAATTTCGCATTGTTGTTATTATGTCACGCTTCCCATCAGCCCAGTGTATCCTCATCATCATCCTGATCCTCATCCTCGTGTCATTGTTCATTGTTTATCAATTGCTCTGCGGTGTGTTGTCAGTAGCGGCGGCTATCCTCAAGTGCGATCTGTCTGAGATGCCATTGGTGGCATGTACCATTCCTCCCACACGGTACGCCATGCGTACAAGGCCGCTAGCCGGCCAACTTGTGCTGTGTATTTGTTAAGCAGCTATAGGCTTATCATTTCTCAGTCGTTATCTTCCTGGCCTATAATCTCTTAGGCAATGGTGGCACTCATCAATGCTCACTTCACGTTGGAGACATATCGTTACCCAAGAGTAGCCGCCTGACCGTGTTCCGCAGATATGTCATCTCGTTCGTAGTTACTTCCACCACCGATGCTTAGGTAACTTGCTATCCTCATCGATTAATGTGCAAGTGCACCCAGCCGCTCTACATACGATCTCTAGCTTAGCCTCATGCAGGGTTCGTCTGCATCTCAGTCTTCTGTTGTTCTAGCCCTCGGCATCTGGGCCACTGTACGCGCCAATGCGGGCGCCATAGTTCGTATCCCCTTACTTGTCATTGTTATCAAGTTGCTGTTATCATAGTACTGATGTCTTAATAGTATTATTTGCAATATTCTTATGCCTTTGTAAGCCTCGCTTTAGTAGTAGGTACAGCACCTCATGGCCTTGAACTTGCCTTATCTGTGTGCCAGTAGTTTTCCGTCGATATTAGTGTTGCATTGATGTTGCATTTATGTGTATAAACGGTTTAATTATCCAAGTTTGAGGTATTACCTTGTGACAACTACGAAAAGTCCCGCGTGGCATTTTTCTCACGAAGTCGAGCATTCTGCTAAAGGCTAGTGATTATCCGGTGCCGAGAACTGACTCGAAGGCCTATTTTCGACTAGCAACTGCAATATCTCCTCTGAAGTCTGAGTCTGTTCTTTTTTGTGAAATAACTTCCCTATGACCAGTTTTTATTCGTAAGCGTAAGCTAATCATGAAATATTTAGAAGAGATTTTGCACATATGGGAGCCACTGATGTTTTACCGTATCCACGACGACGTTCTTCAGTACAGGTAAGATCTCACAACAAGTTTGGACAACGTCAGAACTTTAAACAAATGGCTTATCGTTGTTATTATTGTCAGCACACTTTTACCGTATATTTATATCAAAAACAAGAAATCCTCATGATTTTCTTCATGTCAAAAGTAAGTGCTTTTCATGTTCTTTTGAATCCTTATGGAATATTTTCAAACATCGCAAGCCTATTATTACTGGTGCAGTTAACCCACCATAGTTAATATAAATCCACCATTCATGTCAATGCTTTCTATGCTGAACCTTACGCTCTGTGATAACCATATTTCAGTGCAGTGTTATGTCAAATTTTCGTACTGTCTCTTGTAAGACATTGGCAATTTGTGCATTACGCCTACCTTTTGCGTCTCAGCTTCTTTCTTTCTTTAAGGAATTCAAAACATCGTTTTCGAAGATCTAAAACCTTTAAAGTCAGTTTTAAGTAAATCTATGGGTAATTTTGATATGAAACTCTTCTTGAATATCGCTTACCTTTACTATGATTAACAGAAAAGGAAACAATATCTAAGACCAATTATACAATATACAATATCTAACTGGCTCCAATTTCTCTTAAATCTTTCGAACTTCGTACAAACAGTCAACCTTTTTCAGCTGAAGCCGATAAATTTGCGACTACCGGGTGAGGTTGAAGGCCCCTGTAACATTGAAAAAAGCCACAACAACCAGTCGAAACGTTTCTCGATATTTGACAACAAACAAAGGTATCCATTACTTACCAAAAATATCACCTAGTAGTAATACTGAGCAATATTTAATTAAGTATTCCATATTTATAACATGAGTCTTTAACTGAAAAATAAAGCAAAACTATATAACTGGCTACAAAATATCATAGTTATAGTTCACAGGATCGACTTTCTCTTAACCTCGGCATTGGAATATGAATGCGTCGTCTTCTTGTTCAGCAATCGCGAGGTTTTTAAACAGCATACATTTACTTCCATAGAGAAACACAATACAATACAACGCTAGCTAACATTTCGGCAGTATCGCCTTCTTCAGAGCCGCTTTTTCGTGACTTCCGTGGTGGTCAACCACATGCTACTATAATCAGCTGTTCTAAACCTCCTCATTGGAAGTCGCGTTAAAAGCGGTCAGTTTCTCGAGAAGCTGTTGACCATGTAATTACCAGAGTTTTTCGTCTTTTTGTAAGTGTTATTGAAGCGTTTGGCCTAGTAGATTGTATATCAGCATACCCTTCCAGGCTCTGAAGAAGGCGATACTGCTGAAACGCCAGCTAGTGTTGTATTGTATTGTGTTTTTCTATGGAAGTAAATGCATGCTGTTTAACAACCTCGCGATTGCTGAGAGGGAAAACGACGGTACCATAGTTATGGAAGAGCTTGCGGTTAGAAATTTTGTTTTCAAATTATTTGGTCGTAAATTTGTATGTACGCCACCAAGGACAACAATAGGTGCCACCAGAAATCCCATTAATCATGAAGTGATACGAATGGACACCAGCAGAGCCTCTAATTATTCCTGTCCTATGTGAGAACTCTACAATAGGTCTTGACAGCTCTATGGATACAAAGGTACTAACTTGTAGACAGCTGGGTACGCCGACGGCTTGTTGGCGGGGTTCTTTTTTCAGATTAGACGTCAGGCTGATTTACTTGAGATGGTCCCGAACAATCTGCTGTATAGCTCCTGTTCATTTTTCTTTCCAAATTTTTGTACAAATGGATCTAAAGTTAGCATGAACACACAACAGCATGCAATAAGAAGTTATAAGTCAATCCATTACAATAGAAACAGGGACTCCAACCCATGTATCTAACCACGTCACAGCGTAACAACGTGGTCATCCAATGCTAACGCTTAGTCCTATTTATCCTCCATCTATTCCCCTTCGATTCAAATACGTTGAAGAATTGGTAACAGTTCCATGGATGGATGTTAAAGCGACGACGATGGTTTCCTAGCAATGTGAAAATGTGGCTGGGGTACTAGATTAGTCTGCGACAAGCTCACTCTTGGAAATCCGAGTAGGAATGCTCTAGCCCGGCTATATCATGGCTCTAGGGTTAGTCGAATCGACCATCATTCAATGACATTTACAAAGAAAACCATAATCCTCAGGCAGGAACCTACGCCATGTGCAGAAAAAGTTCGAAGACCTTCGTGGACTAAAGGTGCGGAGGAAATGAATCGAATGCAAGAACTTCTGAGGACCGCACAATGTGGTGCATGCGATTTCGGACCACGTATTTTATTTTATTTTACATGATCCGTCATCACATCTTCTGTCCGGATCCCAGTACTTCTTGAATTTCTTTCGTTTTCTTCTTTATTTATCGTCCAGAAACGTCTTTGGACATTTCGCATGTTGTTTCGGCTACTGCTTGAGGAATTCAAGTTCTCTGTGAATGTCGTAGAATACCGGTCAAGCCTTTCCTCTTGCAATTTTTGAGATAGCCGGGTTAAGGCGTTCCCACGACGACTAGAGGAGGGTGTTGAGGATAGAGTCGACCTTGAGCCTTTGCTTTCTGGTCAATAGCACCACTAACCACTACGCTACTCCCAACCCCAAGGATAACGTAAGATAAATAAAACTGTGAAAGTAAAGGAATATGAATAAAAACAGAAATAAAAAATAGTAATGAGCTTCATTCCCCATTCATCACAATGTCAATTTCCACATTCACTTCCGCTTCCTGGAAGATCGGCTATTGTCACCAAGTGATGACAACATACTTTCGATTAAGAAACTTTTTCTCAAGCTCGCTACAAATATTACTCGACAAATGCTTTTCGATCGCCTGTCTCACGATGAGAAAAACGTTTAGAATCGCATGAAACTGAAATGAGCTGAAGCGATGAAAAATCAACTAATCAAATCTCAAACCTACCGATTACAGCTTTCCCATAATTATCACACGTCTCTCAACGTTGTTTATGTTGTGCTTACTTGTCATAATGAACATTTAATGGGAAAAAATTTATGAGATACTTCAAATGAGAAAAGACACTGTACATACCAACTTTACTAAGATATTTGAAGGTTTACCGCTAGAAAAGTTGAAATTTAGAGCCTGCTTGATCAGGCGCTAAGTGTAAAAATGTATGACGTAGGGAGGAATTTGACAACGAGTTAGAGGCGATAAGAAAGAACGAAGCAATGAACCGAAATTGAAATAGAAAAAACTAGTAGTTATATTACCGACCTGTAACATTTACTTCATCGAATTCCTAGCGAGGATTCTGTCGTTCATCAGCAAATAGATCTATTTCCCCTCACCTCATAATTACAATCACACTGAAGTAAAAATTGGTTCTAAGCATTACGGTAGTACTTGTGCAGATATCACTAGATTTGCTTCAGAAACCCATTCGACTTTACCAAGTGAACCTTTTTCTAGAACTACTGTATGATTAATGTTTAGATCAATGCGACTATGAACAATACCTTTAATTACAGTACACCTGAGCCGAAAACGCCTACAGTGTTGTCTCCATTACGAGTGCTGCCACGTGACATATTCAACAATGAACCGGTACGATGTAGTAAGCATGATGGAAAGAAATATTCTGTTCTTAACAAACATAAGTACGTTGGATAATCCAATCCTCCACGTATTGTGTTAATCAATTTGCCGCAATGTTTTTCGTGGTGGGAATTGCTGTGGAGCTATGGCAACGTTCGATTTTTGCAATGAGTGAAACCTGCCGAGATGAAAACATCATCGGAAAATTAGACTCGCATTGCAAGGTTCAATATGAAGCACAGCAGTCAGTAATAAAGGATAAAATATAAAGCTCTTCGTATTGATCAATCTCTTAGGGATCCCCCACACATTCGACTTCTTTAAGCATCGTTAGAGCTGAATGAATGTATTATCTGGCGTACACAATTACTTACGGTGGCCTACCGATGTAGCGGTCAGTGCTGCTATCCTCCCATACAAGTCTGGTACCAATTCGTCAGCCCCGCAGGGATGGAAGACTTGGTGAGCCCGGGGCACGGGATCGAACCCTTGTTTTTGATCGGGCAAAAACATACTTACTCGATACTTGGACGGCCCGACCTCACCAGTGGTGCGTACTCCAGCATATTCACCATTTTTCGAAGATTTAATGGTTAAGCCATTGTGGTTCCCTGGAGTCCCAAGGTCAGCCTGGCCAAGGTCTGCTCCAGGTCGTCACCACCACAGGTAGTCACCGCCCTTTTAGATTAGAAACAGATTTGCTACCATGCGAGTTTAGTACCAGCACGCCGTGGATCCTGGCGTTGGTTTATCTTAGCTGGGCATCCTGATGGAAACGCCGAACTCTTTCTCAGTTTGGGTGACCTTGCTGGGGAGATAAATCCATTCACTGCACATCGCAGTCCGAGCTCAGGGTCACCTCCCAGCCACGATGAGGCGGTAAACCGTTTGGACGAAATAGTCATAATAATAGTCATGCATAATGAATTGATAATAGGGGAGCGTGTGGCCCAGTGATCGGAGGCGCCTTGCCCAGCAGGCCTTCCATCCCTCCGGGGTCGGCAAATTGGTATCACACTTGTCTGGGAGGATAATAGCACTGGCTCGATACATCGGTCGGCAGGCCACCGCGAGTTATTGTAAAGACCGGATATGCATTCAGTCATCTCCAAACGATGCTTAAAGAGGTCGAATGCATGGCGCATCTCTTAAGGATTGATCAACGCCGAGAGCTTTATCCTTTAGATAATGATAATAGTAGTAGTGACAGTGAAAATAGTTGTAGCAAGGAAAAGAACAACGGTAGAAAGTACTTGTAATATTTACTACGCTTTAGTTGTTATATGTTTCGCACTAACATGAACTGAAATTGATAACGTTCACTCTACAGATCGAATCGCCTTACTGTACTCGGTGGTCTCCTACGTCGTGTGTTCCAGACAGGAACCTAACTTTAAATAATATACTTCCTATGTACTACTGTCTCACCAAGACAAATGCGTAATAAGCGCTTTTGATTAATAAGTTTACATGTACTAGAGGGAACAAATACAGCAGTAACGAATAGTAATTACGTAAATGCATGCATAAGAAAAAAAGAATGTGGAGTGAAGGATGTCCGCTGTGTTAAATGACGGGCACCACAAAATATCTATAGGTTTGCATTCTTTCTTTGATTAGTTTACACGAGGTTGATAAAGATGTTTATTTTCGGCTAACGTTTCGACGTCTCTGTCTTTATCAGAGCCGATGATGCGAGTTGATGGTCCACCCTTGTTATTCGTCTCGATGTGGTGGCTTCGCCTTCGTGTCGAGTCAGGTGCTCTTTGCTAGCTAATAATGGTACTGGTTTCTGCAGATTTGATTGTCCATGAAAAACAAGTTACTATCACACTATCACCGGACAATCACAGCTATCAACCATTGGCAACCTGCATAAGAGGACATCACCGGGTGAGTATGCCACATTCGAGGAGAAGGCACGCTGAGGAAGACCTGACTCGATACGAGGCGAAGCAGCCATACCGAGACGATCAACAAGCGTGGACCATCGACTCGGGTCATCGACTCTGATGAAGACGAAGACTTTACCAACCTCGTGTAAGCACCTCAAAGAAAGAATACAAATTCATTAGTCATATTGAGGTTAAAGGAAAGCCTATTTCAAAATATCTGTAGGTTTGCTTTCATTCACTAAATTGAGACTTTTCACCAATTTAGAAAACTATTAAAAAAGAAATGAAGGTTCCGAATTTATGGAACTTCTCCGTAAAAATCAGACACACATTCTACATCAACAGAAATAGCGAGGTTTAAGAAGACCACTAGACACTAATGTCAATTACTCCAAATCATCATGTTTATTGGCTTCAAAGAATTTAAAAGCGTAATGTATACAAGTAACAGCCCTGTAGATATTCCTCATAACGAGTTGTTCATCTCCTCGCTATAACGTCACATCTGTAAATGCAAAAATAATTACAAAGTTTAGTAAAATCAGCTTGCATATTAAATAAAAAACTGATAGAAAGAGCATATTTACGATCGTTTTCCTGGCTTTCACAGGTGAAATTCCATTTTAGGTAAAATGTCAGGGATTATCGATTTAACATGAAGAATAGTGAAAAGTTAGTGAAAAAACGATAGCCCAGTATTGATTAAAAATTTCATAATCGAGTAAACCACTAGTTAGATCGCTAAATGGTCTCCTATTATAACTAGTATATAATGCTGAGATATTTGCAAAACTCCGGACCGCAGTTGTATGCGGTGGGGAACGAACGCGCGCTATTGTCCTTACCGGGGAGTAGCGCACTTCATCACCACACCATCCGGGTCCTTCGTTTTCGCTGTCTCTCAGCTAGGTCTCCTATTAGTTCGTCAACACCCCAAAAAGGCCTAACGATCAACACGATCAGATCTAAGATTTCTTGCAAGTCAACTTTGAGAGCGAACCTCAAAGACACTTCTCACTTGATTTCTAATTTTCAGACGCGCTCAAAATCGATCGAGTGCCTGTTCCGAGTGCGCTCGCATTCGCTACATCGTAGTGATCGAACAAATCCTGAAGAATCACGACGTCCATCAATTCGGAACGAACGTCCACATGAAGCGCGACGACGACCACGTCTTGCATCTGATCAAAGCGAGAACGCAGCACAGTATATCGAACGACTTCGACGAGAACTAATCGTACAGATTCGTCAACCACACGAATGCAATTATGTATTCTGATTTAGGATCCCATCCCAACGATCTTATCTATTGATTAGAAAGGTCACATTAAGCTTTGAACGTTATCCGACGCCAACAAGCGTTCACCACGAGAAAAGCTCAAAGATTCAATCATCTGTAAAATGAAAAAGATAAGAGCCAGTCATTCTTCGACTACCTCAAATTTTACCTCTGCATTGGGTACCCACAATTTAAGCTCGTGCCAAAAAATTTTCAGTATGCACCTGAAACATTTTTCTCAGTACTGCTCGAAATCCTAAACCAAATTTGTTTTGAAGATCAAAAATCCTAGCATTCGTCGTCATGTATTAATTAATTTAGTGTTAGAACCGTGGAAATCTCAGCGATTTCTACTCTATTCGTCATTTATTGAACGGTAACAAGTTATTCGATAACTTCAACGTTAACTTTGCAGAAGATGATACTTCTATAAACTCATATTTAATGTAATTAACCAAATTACTAAAGAAACTGACCAATTCGTTTAATTGCACAAGTTTAAGATATTCGAGAGTTCGAATTAATCAAGAATTCGGACCAGTTTCTTCAAGACATAGATGTAACATTGGATACATCGCAGCCATCTTTAGACAAACACTTTGGAAGACATCTGCAGAACGTTCTCGAAATTCAGTATGAACAGTGAGAGGCGTCCTATACATTCTTACATCGCATATTTTGTACACGTATCTTCTCTATATCTTCCACTAAATAAGTTGTATTTTATAACTCCAAACTGTGCGTCATTACATTGTCTATTTGTGCCGTTTGTTCATCATAAATAAAGCTTCAAAATATTTACATTTCCATACCTTTCATACAAAATTATAACGAAATTTGATAATTCCCAAGTCCAACTTTCTATTAGCCTCGGCATTGATTGAATAATTCTTTCCACTTCTGTTCAGCAAGCGCGAGGTGCTATTTTATTTCCATATTTACAGGCTGACGTTTCAGCGGATTTCGCCTTCCTGAGAGCCTGGAAAGGTCAAGTTGACTACAATCTACGCGGCCAAACACCTCCATAAGCAAACAGAAAATGCTGAATCAAAATTTCAACCACATTTAACACAGCTCTGCACGCTCACCGTTTTCTATGAGTCTTCCACTGAGTATATCGTGTGAAGACCGACTGCACAGAATTCACATGGAAGCGTAAAGTGCCACTCCCATCAAAATAACAGGTTTATATATTGTCCAATATCACGCGTGATAATGAGGCATTCTTCCTTGCAGTTCACTTTCGGATTCTTGGAATTAATCCAGAATGCCTCTAGAGTTTTGCACGCTTGTGTCCTCGATTCTTGTGCGAGGATCGTAACCCTTACTTCAAAATCTTCTCCGTTATGTCTCTGCGTCCTATGCGTGCCTAGTGGAGTATTTGGCTTACGTTGCCGACTAGGTGTTCTTTTATACGTACGCAGAGTGGTCTACCAGTTTCGCCAACGTATTAGTCACCGCACACTTTACAAGAGATCAGATAGACTGTACCCGAACTCATGCAGTCACCGTCTCTACCACTGGGGCAAATTATGCAATTTTGCGTTGCACATAGACGGTCGTATAGGCGGTTACGAACTAGCTGGCGTCTTAGATTATTCGGTGATTTCAATTATCGTTACCGAATTCTCTAGACCGGCCCTTCTTAAACAGCGTCTTATAGCTGCACTTACTTCATTTGAAATGAAGGCAGTATAAACGGGACCTTATTGTCGCTAGAGTTATCGTTGGGGTACCTGTGGCTTCCTCTGCACCTATCTCGATCGAGCTGCAGTTTCGTAGCCATTAAAAATGGCTGTTAGCCAGGCCAAGCTCCTGGACTCCTCTCTCTGCTGTCTTCCTGTGCACACGCTGGTAGCTGTTCTATAAATGTTTCTCACAAGCGCGCTTTTCGTGTGAGAGGGGTGAGAGGAGAGGTAATGAACCATGATGTTTTTACTACTTGGCTTTCGATGCCACTTCGTAATGTAGCCGTTTTCTGATAGGCTAATTTGCACATTCAAAAATGGAAGCCAGTCTTCTTTTGGTTTCTCTCGGGTGAATTTGACATACTCTGACTGTTCGTTCAACAACTCGAAGCATCTGTCAATTTCTTCTTGTGTTGAACAAATGACCAAGCAGTCATCTATATCGCCACAGCAGAGTAACGGACCGAGGTCGATCACTGGCGCTTCCACCTTCTACATGAATGCAATGGCAAGGCTTGCGTGCCAGTCGTTGTCCTATTGCCAGCCCTCTCATTTGTGCGTAATTCCTCCCGGACCATCTGAAGATTGAGCAGTTTAGGCACTCCTTTAAGAGTGTCATCAACTGCTGAATCGAGAAGCCGTACATGTTTATTGCTCCTTCGTGTTGTATAAGGAGCTCGTTTATGGCTTGCATAGCGGAGTCATTCGACACGTTCGTATAGAGGGCAGTGACATCGAGGGATTCCACCACGTACACGCTGTTGGGTCGCGCATTACGTAGACGATCCAGAAAAATTTGGGTGTTCGTTAGATGAGCTGGAATGTACTTCAACAACTGAGTAAGTATTAGGGTTAGTAACCATGTTATTATATCCGTTAGCTCGTCCACGCTGCTAATGATAGGTCTAACCTTAAATAACGATGGACACGAGATTATCGCTGGATACTAACTTATGGGTTTTAATAAGTAAGTACAGGACGAGACATGTCGGTAAGTCAATTTTGAGATGAGAGATAACTGATGGTTTTAACCCAGCCGCTCTTGCCACTTTAACCCATTCCTTGTTTAACTTTCGGCATTGACTTTTAAATTCCTTCTCAGACGACGAACAATAAAGGGAAGCATCTTCAAGGTGCTATTCCGTTATCTCAACATCTAACTGATAGGGAATTACAGCGAACACTCCACCCTTATCAGTAGCCGATAGCCTTATGTTTTTCGATCTTATCAGCTCTCGTACCTCCCGCATACCACGTTTTTGTATTTCAGTGAGGTTGGAGCAGTATCTCTTAGCCCGATAGTGATTAAGGACTTTGAAAGTTTCATTCGTAAACATCCAAAATTTAACATCAATTTCATTATTGGGCTGTTAATCTTCGATCGATACTAACGATCCTCGCGCAAGAATCGAGAACACAAGTGGGCAGAACTCTAAAGGCATTCTGGATCAATTCCAAGAATCCGAAAATGAACTGCAAGGAAGAATGCCTCATTATCACGCGTGATATTGGACAGTATATAAACCTGTTATTCTGATGGGAGAGGCACGTTACGTTTCCACGTGAATTCTGTGCGGTCGGTCTTCACACGACATACTCATAGAAAGTACTCAGTGGAAGACTCATAGAAAGCGGTGAGTGTGCAGGGCTATGTTAAATGTGATTGAAACCTTGGTTTAGCGTTTTCTCTGTTTGGTTATGGAGGTGTTTGATCGAATAGGTTGCTGTCAACTTGACCTTTCCAGGATCTGGGGAAGGCGAAATCCGCCGAAACGTCAGCCTTTACGTGAGTGGGGAAGTGGAATAGCACCTCGTGTTTGCTGAACAGACGTAGAAAGAAGTTTCATAATGTTCAAATCTACGATATCAAATAGACTCATGTCGGCAAATACAGAAAGTTCCATATTTAACGCCTAAGTTTCTCCCTAACTTGTCAGTTGCCCTTCATGAGTCATTTAGTATAATAATTGCACACTTCCCATAGTCGCAATGAGTTTTGCTGAAATACATAAAAAAGAGAGGTTGCTATTCCATAGGACGTCATCATTCAGTCATCCTAATAAAAACATAAGATCTCGGCAATTTGATAATAGAAAAAGTCGCCATACATTTAGATAGACGAGTAAAACTGCCAGATTTTCGTCTTTTCTACTTGAATTTGTTCGAACTGGATTCATTTTCATCTGCTGCATAGTCTTCGGTCGGCCACTTTAATACTTGCAAAAATCACTTCAGTTCTAGAATTTTTCTCAAGAATCAATAATTCTTACGATCTACGGTAATCTCCATCTATTGCAGTGAAGAACTTTCTGATAAGGCTAGCTTGTGGTTCTAGTAGTACTGGCAGTCATTATATCGAGCAGGAGGAAAGAGCTCAAGTTTCCTTGCTCGATTACCGGACCAATTATATATATATAACTCTTATAAGACAACGAAACGAATGGAAGAAATGCTAGGATCCACACCATGCATAGGTAGTGACGCCGATCATCACGAGCACGGTGTGCTGGTTCGATCTCGCTCCAGGTTCACAAAACTTCTCGTCCTGGATCGGAAAATTGGTATTGGACTTGTCCGGGAAAGAACCACTATCTGCAAACTAATTGCGAACGATCCAGCCCGGCTATATCAGGACTCCAGGAAGAATCGACCCAACCAGCATTCAGCGACATTCATGATGAAAGGAAAAACCTCAATCAGCAGCCGAACCCACACGAAAAGACTTTCTTTCCTTTTTGGATAATGGATGTGAGGAAACGAATCAAATGCAAGAAGTGCTCGGATCCACATAGTAGATGTGAAAGACCCACCTTCTTTCTTCTAACTTAAGGCTGCACAAGTCTTGTAAGTTTTACTGCTCACAAGCATTTATTTGATTTTTGAATGACTGAGAAAAATCGACGACTGATTTTAATAATTTCATTTGTAAATAGATTAACGCAGCTTATTTCTAATTACCATCGAGTCCGAAGTCCAAGTCGAAAAGACGCTGGCACGGTGCCATGTTATTCTCACAATTGCAACTACAATTACTCAATGGGTTTTCAATTATCCTAATGTCGCTCATTAATGTCCTCGCTATTGCAGATTTATTACCAGAGATAAAATTAGATTATAAAGCAACACTATGAGCCGAGCGAAGAATATTTGTATTATTTTCAAATCCTCTCACAAATTTTTCCGCAACGATGAACATCAATCAAGATAGCGACGAGTGAAACATTCAAACTTTTAAACTTTTCAGGAACGAATGCTCCACTTTTGCACTGATTTCGATGCGCATGAATGAATGGAAAAATGGTGTCCAAAGGA